TGGGGATAAATAAATGCCTTGGAGACATCTGGGTGTTTTACTGGCCTAAAATGTGCTTCCGAAATCCCGACCTTATCTTTTTATCCCACACTCATCTTAGCCCTAGAGGAACATTTAAAGAGAAATAGGCTGCTTTAGAAGAGTGTAGCAGTAAATGGAGGGATGATTAGACTACTTGGGGGTGCTCAAGGCCCTCCCAAAGCTGGGGCACCACAGGAGCTCAAATGGAAGAGTGAGAGACTGTTTAACACACTGTTTGCTAGAGAGACAGGTTTCAGCTCAATTTATGGGAGTACCTAACACGTGAAGATGCTGTGTATGGTTTGGGAAGCAGAGAGGTCTCTGTTGCTTGTGGTGTTCTAAAACAGGAAGGCCTCTTACAGAGGGTTTTGAGGAGATTAGCTGGATTGCAATGTACCTCTGGTTCTTTGGTTCCCAAGATTCTCAAATAGGTTATTCAGAACAGTCCAGAAGTTGCTCTCCTCTTTCGTGTTTTTTCCTAGGAGGATCCTACCAACTTGCGGCTCCCAGAGTTAGGGCTTCTCAGTAGCCCATGGAGTCCATAGGTAACTAGGATCTAAAGTTGTTTCTTGAGGTCAGGAGAGAGTAGCCCATGCTATCCTCCCCAGGAGTTGCTCTGAAGCCCTCACCAATCCCAGCTCAACGGGTCTACGTGTCCTCTGAAGGGGTCTTTCTCTTGCTTTACTCTCCTTTTCAAGATCTGGCATGGAGGGTTCCTGGCAGAATCATTTGCTCAGGGTCTTTTGAGGAAAGAGATCAGAAGCTGGGGAGTGGAATGATGTCTGGTCCTTCTCCCTTCCTTGTCCCATCTTGGAATTTAGTAATGAAGCAAGGTTACTCACCATAGCATTAGAAGGAAATGGGAAAGTGCTGAGTTCCAGCAGAGCTGCCTTGGGCCCCCTCCCCTCAACTGTCACAGTGTGATGGGGTGGGCTAAGGGCGTAACTGAGTAAGATGCAGGAGTGAAGGTAAAGGTCCTCCTGTTAAAACTGGCAAAGTGCCGTTGGTCAGCACTTTCTGATCATATTGGAAAGTTGAGACAAGTTTGGCCCTGGAGACAATATAAAGGTTCAGATTGATATCCAGAGGCTTCTGGCAAGTGCCCTTAAGATGGGGGCATTCTAGAACTCTCCAGAAGGTGCTTTACAGTGGGCACATCCATCTGTAAGACCTGGACCAGAAGGGACTGCCAAAATAGAGAGGACAGAAAAACAGTGGGAGGTTGGAAGTTAGGGGCGGCTGATGGAGAAGGATGGATGTGGGAATTGCCAGAATCAGCAAGAGAAGCTTATTGTGTAGGGGGAAGAATAAGAGAGTGAGAAAACTAAGATTTAAGACCAAAATTTTGAATGGCTATGTTCACTCTGCTCTCATTCTGTGAAAGGCAGGGTCTGAGGCTAGGCATTTGTCTTTCCATTTATTCAGTTACATTTTTTCAGTTGTTGCTGGCTCATCTTTCTAGGTGGGGCTGCTGCTGGTTCATCTTTCCTCCTCTGAGTTGTTCTTTTTGGTCGTGGTAACAGAATGTTAACCCACACAGCACCCAACTATTATTCACTGAGTGAATTGACAATTTATTATTCACTTTAATTTTGGTTCTTTTGTGTGTGGTATAAATAAAACAAGCCCTCTCCACATTCTGGAATGAAGCCCCTATTACCCTCTTAAGAGTGGAGTGCTTAATGGTAGCCGAGTCACCAAATCCTAATGGATATTTTACACTCTATCACCAATGTCTAAAGCTGGCATCAGGATCAGACCCCAGGTATCAAGTGGGAATCGGGAGAATGTCCGTAACTGGGGAGGGGGCTGGCAAGAACAAGTCGGAAAGCCCAGCTTCCTTAAAGTGGTGACTGGAGAAGTCACCAACTTGAAACTAAATAGTCTGGTCCTGTACCAGGCAGCACTCAGCAAGAAGTCCCACCTGAGTTCTTTTTTTTTATTATTGGTTGTTCAAAACATTACAAAGCTCTTGACATATCATATTTCATACTTTAGATTCAAGTGGGTTATGAACTCCCATTTTTACCCTGTATACAGATTGCAGAATCACATCGATTCTCTGCAGATGCCTCAACTAACAGGGAGTGCAGCACAGAAGCCTGGTAGTTAACACCAAGCACCTCCCAGACCAGACCAACAAAGGAGATTCAGGAAAATCTGTGGAATCTTGAACCCAGTCCTGGGGCAATGACTCACAGATGAGGCCAGCAAACAGGGGGAATCAAAACTAAGCCCCATTGGACTGGGTTCCAAAGGTGCTTAAGAACTTCCTGCCTTGCTCTGGAACTGGGGCAGAGCCAGGCCCACAGGTGGGAGCAGCATCAGCCCCATCTGTGTGACCCTCTGACCTCTTTTCCTGTCTGCCAGGGAACTGACCACTTATCTGTCAACTGCTATTTGTCAGGAGATTGAATTCAGCTGATATTTCAGCTGGGCATGCTTGTCCTCCTACCCAGTTACAGAGCTAAAAGAGACCACCTCTGCCCTGGAAGACGTAAAGGCTTGTGCTGAGCTGGCCTCCTAAATAACCAAATTGCAGTGCAAAGGGATAAGGGTCTTATAATGGATTTGAATAAGGGACTCAAGTGGCACACAGAGGAGTCTGTCATAGAGAGGGCACCTGTTATGATTCAGACCTAAAATGTCACCAAAAAAAAATCTCATGTGTTATCTGTGCAGCCAAAGTTCTGAGGTGAGATGATTGAATCATATGAGCTGTTATCTCCTCAGTGGATTAATCCATTTGATGGAGTAATAAGTAGATTTACCCAGAAGTGGTGAAAACAATAGGCAGGTGGGGCATGGCTGGGGGAAGTAGGCCACTGGGGGTGTGGCCTTGGGGACTATGCCTATTTCTGTTCCCTCCTCACCCCTTCTCTTTCCTGGCTCCAGAGAGCTGAGAGGCCTCCCTCTGCCATGCCCTTCCATCATGATTTTCTGCCCAACATCAGGCCCACAGCAGTAGAATCAGGTGACCACAGACTGAGACCTCTGAAACCATGCACCAGAATAAATCTTTCCTTCTCCGAGTTGTTCTTTTTGATTGTGGAACAAAATGCAAAATGTTAACCAACACAGCACCCAACTACTATTCAAGGAGTGAATTAACAATTTATTATTCACTTTAGTTTTGGTTCTTTGTGTGTGTGTGTGTGTGTGTGTGTGTGTGTGTGTGTGTGTGGTATAAATAAAGAGGGGTCTGTAAAGGCATCAAAGGGAAACTAAAATTTGATAATTTGATTCTGCTCTTGAATGATGAGTAGGTAAGGAAATGAATTTCAAACAGAAGAAACTTTACAAGGAACATCATGGAAACTTGAATGAACACAGTGGGCTGGGAACAGATTAATTGTTTGGTACAACTAGAAGATGAGGCTAGAGAGGGTAGATCACGTCATACTGAGCAAAGGATCAGGAACACAGGGTCAGTCAGCTTTTGCTGAGTAATAAACAACCATAGGACCTAAACACAATGAAAAATAAACATTGCTTTCTATCACATGCATCTGCTGGTGGCAAGGACATCTCTGTAATGAGTGAAGAGCAGACATGACCCACCTGAGGTGGGATCAAGTTCAGATCTGGACTACACAGACCTGTCGTGGTATAGGGGCCCATGCTGTAGTACAGTAGTTATCTGGGGTGTGTGCTTCTCAAGGAGAAGGTGGGTAGCTCTCAGGGAAGCAAGTAGAACCATACAGTGCTCCCCAATCCCTGGGCTCAGGACTGAAACACTGCCACTTCTACCAAAACAGGTCATGTGTCTATGATAGAGGGAGTGAGTGAATAGCTGTTTAACAACTCTCTCACCTGAAATAATACTGTGCAATTTGTTTTGATTCTTAAAAAAAAAAAAAAAGCGAGTTGTTGCTGGTTCATCTTTCTTGGTGGGGCAGTTTCATTTTAACTGGCATGTCAGGAATACCTGCCACATGCAAGAGGACACTTTATTCATACCTGGATGTGGCTAATATGCCTACTTTGTTTATATATTGAAGGTTTTGAAGGGTAGGGATCGTGATTCATTTATCTGTGTAGCCTTAGCACTGAGCACAGAGTAAATGCTTGAAACACTCATGAACGGGGAATTGACCTCATGATGTCCTCAATGTATGATTAAAATTGAAGGGAAAATGGACATTTCTCTGTTTCCCTGGACCATTCCAGGTTAAGAGTGGTGTCATAAATGACGAACAGTCACAACATGTTTGGAGTGAGAACAAAAATGCTAAGCAGGGGAAAAAATAGTAGAAAGCAGATGGTTTAACCCATAGCTGCCATAGTCAAGGGACCACTTGATAATGAGAGTCAAGAAGGACTTGGAATAATGGAACTTCTTTTCTTCTTCCAGGTAACCATCAATTTGAATGTGTGTGTGTGTGTGTGTGTATGTGTGTGTGTATACACATATATATATATATATATATATATTCTGAAATATGTATGTGTATATATATACACACACATTTATATATATATATGTCTAATTATCATAGCTAACAAATATTGAGTGTCTATTATGTGTCTGATGCATCTTAATATGTTTTATATATTGTTTCATGTAATTGAATCCTCCCTTGGATCACAGTTATTAATGGCGCACAGCACTGAGAACAATAGCCTATTTCCATTCTACTAAAGTTGCATCTTTTCATGCTAGTTCAGTGGCAAACAAGGACAGAAAAGGCTGAAGCAATGTAAATACAATTGAGTGGTAAGCACAGCTGAAGAAGTCAGTAAAATTGTGCAATCTCGGATGAAAGACTAAGCATATACTGTGAATAGATTCAGGTCTCAACAAAATCATGATCAGGGCAATGGACAACAAAGAATAAGAATAAAGATGAAAGGGACCAGAATACTGACCCTCTTAGCCACTTTTAGTTCTGAATTCCACACAGGTTCTCCTGCCGGGGAGGGGGTGGGACTTAGGTCCCAGGAGTCCTGCTCCGTTAATTGTTACTTTGGATTTCCAGATCTCTCCAGGGAAGGGGTATCCTTGTTCATTTCTGCTGCCCCAGAGCACAGCACAGTGCGTGGGTAGAGTATAAACCCGGTGTACTTCAAAGATCTGAACTTGGGCCTGTCACAGGGTGGAAAGAGACTTGAGAAAATTCGCAGCCTCTCAACCAAGTGTCTGCTTCTTCCTGCTCCTCTCTGGTAGACTGCTCAGGAGTGGAAACACCATCATCCCAGGGAAGCTTAGGGTAAGTACCTGCCCTTTGGTTCTGTCTTCAATATCAGAATGTAACCTCTTCTCCAATCCTGTACCTGCCCCTCATATCTGGCCCAATGTCCTGATCTCCAGGAGACAATCAGATGGCAAGAGGCCACTGAGTTAAGGCTAGAGTGTGTGGTCTGCACATGGCAGCACAACAGGGGACGAGACCTGAAAGGTGGGCAGAGTCTGCACCACATCTTGGGTGAATTGTGCTATTTCTGACTTTCAGTCACCTCATGTCTGTAACTGGACCAGAGTCCCTGCACTCCCTAATTCATGGGGTCTGTTTTAGGATTACAGAGAAAGATGTCTGCAAGATGGAGGAATGTTTCACTGAATAAATGTTACACGTAGGTTAGTTAGTTCCCTCTGAGAGAAATCTAGACTTGTAAAGGGAGCAGGAAGGCCTCTGAATGGCCTGATAGTCCAGAGATTCTCAAGCTGTTTCCAGGGATTGCTGTGGAACCTGGGAGTTTGGTGCCCTTGGGAGGGGGTGAAAAAGGCTGGAACCCTGACTTGAACTTCAATCAGAGCAAAGGCTATGCTTTGCTTGTGAGTGCTGGAATTCTGGGTATTGATTGAGACCCTCACCCCACAAAATGAGGTGCATATACTCATGGTAAAGTTTGAAAATCACTGAACTAGTCCAACCCTCCCATTTTGTAGATGAGGAAAATTGAGAGGGGTGAGAAAGGCCAGGAAATGACTCCTGGGGCTCTAATGAGTCAATCAGTGGGCTTTGACAAGGCTGGGTTTCATATTATTGAAGACACATTCTCATGCTCATTTTCTTCTTCAGATCAATCAAGGTGTCCCCCTCCTTCCTTTTAGAGGAGTCAGGCTCCTGCCAACAAGAAAGACAAAGGATCAAAGTAGAAAAACAAATGCTAATGCTCCCAACTCTGCTGCCCACCTACTGGGCCCAAGAGGTTCAAAGCTTCCAGACCAGGAAAGAAAAGCCCAGCCCCCTCCCAGCACCTGGGCTCCTGCTGCTTCTCTAACCCCATCCCCCCATCCTCCAGGTTCTTCTGCCACCTAGCTTTCCAGAGCCATTTTGGTCTCCTAACAGGCTTGGGCCATTGGTCCCCAAAGGCTGTGACCCCTAAATAGTCCCCTTACCACGGGGACTGTGTGTGTGCTAGGGGTTGTGGGGTTAACTGCAGTGGACTAACTCTTCCATCTGTTCAGAATATGTTTACGAGGTGTAAGCAGAGAAAGGGATTGGAAAGTACACACACTTCAAACTGCTGAAGAATTTTGCGAAGTGTTCTGTGTGCTTTTAGGCAAACCACTCCAGTTTTCTGGGTCTCAGCTTTCCACTTTTAGAAATGAGCAGCTGGAGGAGTTATTTCTAAGGTCCTTATCGGCTGACAAATGTAGCTCCTCCTTGTTCTTTTCTATTCTCTGAAGGCATTCTTTGAAGAGAGTTTTCCCTTGAGGAGAGCGCTTCAGAGGGGAAAATATGTCAGGTATGTGTTCCCCGTGGCTACTTAGGACAGTTTGGAGCACAAGAAATTGTAAAAGATGGACAGACAGGGCAGAGTCACGCAGAGTCTGCAATGGGGATTGGGGACTGCATTTGAAGAGTGAAAAGGACCACTATGCAGGGAGCCCCTCAGGGAAGCCACGGAGGCACAGTGAAGGCTTGATCTGCTGCCCTGTGCCCAGCCACTGGCCACTCAGATACCATTGCTCTCCAGTGATATTTGAGTAGGGCTGCATCCTAAGATTAAGTAGCAATGAGTGCAAACTGGAAATTAGTGAGAGGCCACCATCTGTGACTTTTGCTTTTGTAATTCCTGCTTTGAACGTTTCTCTTTTCAGGCTAATAAAAAATGCAAGTGAGTAAGTCACGTTTATGAAATCATTTATAAAAATCTCTTTCAGGCAGGGTTGAGGTACAGTGGGTTCCCACACCAACTGGTGGGACCTCAGTGGTCAGTCCTGTGCAACTCTAAATTGTTCTGTATTTTAAATATCGCCTGAACCCCTGGGACTTTTTGCTTGGGGTGTTGGAGCAGAGCAGTGGAAACACAAAAATCCTCAGGAAAACTTCTTTTCACCAAAATTCAAAGAAGACATACTAGGCGTCATATCTTAGACATGGCTACAGTCCCAAAGCCTCATGTCTGCTAGCGTGGTACTGTTAGAAAAGAGCCAGGGTTCCCCAGTATTAACCAATTCTGTAAAGCATTCAGTGAGAAAAAAAAAAAAAAACTGGCTAGAGAACTAACCCAGACCAGATCTAGATTTCCTTAGGCTGGACAACTGCCCCTGCCTATTTTCTTCTGCAGGAGCTTGCCTGGGCTCTATTCTACCAAATTGCATGCAATTCACTAAAGAGAATTCTGCCCTGGTCAAGGGCCCAGAATTCCCTTCTTCACTTCTCTTCTGGGAGAAGGGTTACTTCTTCTTTGAAGTTTTTGTGTTCAGGTCCTTAGACTTGACTTGACTTTAAATAAGCAAACAAACAAACAAAAACTTCTTTTGCTATTTGTCCACCAGTTATTGCAGTCTCCATAACGCTTTACAGTATTTATCTATTTAAAATGCTGTCTTCCCCAGCCAGACCTGATTTTTGCCAAAAATGGACCTAGTCCAAGTCATCTTTGCTCTCCTGGTGCCTAAGAGTGCCTGGTACATAACAGAACTTTATAAATCCTGTTAAAGGAGAAGTTGAAAGACTCAATAAATAAAAATGAATAAATAAACAAATCCATTCCTAGCCTTCAGCTCCCTGAAGGCATCCCTTAGTTGCCTACCTGGCTCCTCATGGTATTTGTGTTCCAGACCCCTGCTGTAAGTGATAATTCATTAGAATTGGGATCAGCTGGAGTGTCATAAAACCCGGAAATAGCTGTGGCTTAATCAGGATAGAAGTTTCTCCCTCAGTGACTGTTTGGAAGGAAGAGCCAGGTTTAGGGTGGTGTGTTTCTCTCTTGCTGTGCATGACCTCTGCTGCCAAGATCACTTTATAGCCCAAGATGATTACTCCAGCTACGGTCATCAAATCTGTATTTTATCTGCAAGAAAGAAGACAAGATGACAAAGAGAACATTACTTCCCGTTAAAAATGCTGCTTAAAATCTCATACTCGATTTGAAGGTAAATGCTATCTATCAATCAGAACTGTGTAGTAGCCACACCTTGCTGCAAAGCGGTTAGGAAATACAGTGTTTATTCTCAGTGGTCCCCAAAATGTGGGAGTTGTATGACTGTAGGAATATGGTGAGGGAATGTTGACTGGATCAAACCTGTAATTAAGAAAGACCAGATGGTGTCTGGAAAGAAGGAATTCAAGAAAGAAGAGAGTGGAGGCAAGGAGACCCATAGGAGGCCGGTTCACAATTCCAGACAGATGAGAAGCACATGAAATAGGACAGTAGCAGAGGGGACAGGAAGGAGGACACAGGTTAGTAACTCAGTGGGATGAGGGAGGAAAAGAGTCTAGAATGAGCCCCCTTTCCTGACTGGGGCCCTTGGGAATAAGATTGTACTTGACTGGTTTGGGAAATCCAGGAAGGCTTCAGTGTCAGAGGTGGAGGTGAATACTGAGAACACTTATTTTTATTTGTGACCCTTGATGAGCTGGGCATGCCCCAAAGGAAACCATAAGGTTTCCCAGAGCAGTTTGTGGGAATGGGCCGTTGGTCCAGTTAGAAGGAGCCAAGTGGAGTAAGAAGTGCATTTGGGGGTGTGGGGTCAGATCCCTATTCCCTGCCTTGTACCTTGGCCACTGACTTATCAGTGGAGTCCTGGTTGTCTTAAGGGTCAACAACCAATTCTTCAAAGAATTTCAAGCAGAAGTCATTTCAAATTCCCCCTAATTAAAAGGGGTAGATCAGTGTGTGCCTGGAGTCCTGCTGCTACTGGAGAAGGGGAAGGCGGGGTGTGGGGGTTTACAAATCCCTTAAGGCAGTATCCTGACTCTATGGGGAGGTGCTGGGGAGTCTAAGGAGGGGCAGCCACGTGCCAGCTGGCTGTGCCAAGTGAAGGAGCCACATGCCTGGGGTTCTGCCATGTGTTTGTTTATTTGGTTTGGCTGATGTAAAACATACACACACAGACGTACAGCCTCAGGGCCTGTGTGCAGAGCCCTCATTCAATCCTCAACTAAAATCAGAAACAGTGTAGAAAGAAAGAAGAAAGTCCAAGTAGCAGGATATGATCAGGTAGCCAATTTGTGTGTGTGTGTTTTTTTTCTTCATTCATTTATTTATTCATTCATTCATTTAGCAAATGAATGTCAGGCATTCTGTAAGGCACTAGGCCTAGAAAGTGAATTCAACACAGGCCCCTAGAGGCCCAAAGACAGGGCAGGGGATAGAAGCCTGGAAAGAGGTCATTTCATTACAAAGTGAGCATATAGGATACAAATCTCTGGTCTGGTCTTTTCCGGGGCTTCCAGCATCTCTACCCAGACTTTCAACAGTCTGAAAATTGCACCCTCCAAACCCCAATGTATGCTCCAAATTCAGGGGAGTTCACAGTCACGCTTGCATTTTCTACCTCTGTACACCCTATCTCCCTGCTATTCTTTGCCACTTCCCACTCAGCTTTGAGGGTCCAATGGAACCCTCTGTTGGGGACCATCCTCTGGGTCCTCCTTGCCTTTCCTTCAGCCTTTATTGCTGGTGCTGCTCACCTGCTACTTTCATAGTTCACCTGCACATTTCCCCAGTGACCTGTGAGCAACCTGAGCAGAGAAGGATCTTGTCCACATCTCTATCCTGGCAGTTAATCAATACCTGGCACAGAAACCCTCTTAATAAATGCCTGACTAAATGAACGGACATAATTTAGCAGCGCCATGGATAGACTTGATGTGCTGCAATTAAGATGCTCTGGGACTCTGAACCCAAACTCCACGGTGATACAAATCCTGAGCTCTGTCGCCTCCAACCAGCCCCTTCTCTTCAAGCCTCTTTGCTTGTTTTTTTGGCATGAGCCGTTAATGTTCTGTAAGTATGCCTTATGCGTAAGCTTCATTGTGAGTGTGTTGATCTTTCCTTCCTTAATGTACATGAAACACTTATTATTGTTATTATTATCATCACAAGAAGAAGACAAGACACTGATCTAATGGGTAAGGGCATAATCTAGTAGGCAGGAGATAGCTGAGTTCAGATTCTTGAGAGAGGCCTCCCATGGTTGTCCTGAATTGCCTGTCACTCTATTCATCCAAGCTCTCCTGACTGCTCTTACTCTGGCGTCTCCCCTGAGCACTGACTTGGTGAGCCCGCATTGCAGAGAGGTAGAGGAATGGGCTGTGGATTCCGGCTGCATGGTTCAGCTCCCGCTGTGGTTGGACACCTCTGTCCTTCTCAAATCTCTTAGCTGGCTCCTTCTTTCTCTCTCTCTCTTGGTGGGAGCCATTCTGGACTTTGTTGAGATGCCACACCACAGACATGGGATCTGTTTTCCTGAGGACTTCTCCTCAGATGGAGGCAACAAAGAATATTGCTCTAGGCCCCATACTTTAGAGGGTTCCACTCTGGCCCACCCATGCCACTCCCCTTAAATTGAGGAATTCGAGGGGATCAGAGAATGTGTCAACCTACTGTCCCTATTCTCCCCTTGCAGACCATGCAGTGGAAATGTGGACACCACAATTCCCAGCCTCTGTAACCTTGAGTCTGCTTCAAGTGACTGCAGTGACATACTTCCTGAAGGCAGAGCCTGATCAGCATGCAGTCCCCAGGCCTATTGTGTGACTAAGGGTGATTATGAAGATTGTGACCAGAGCTTGGTTCCCCCGTGTACGCACACAAGACTACTCATGATTTAGGGCTAATTTGTGGGAGAGGCCAGAGGCTGGAGAACAGAGATGGGCTGTATCCTAGCCACCCTACCTGATGTGACATAGCATGATGTCCTAGGGCTCTAAATTCTAATGTGGCCTTTCAAGTCAAAACAAAAGTGTGTTTGACAAGATAGAAGAGTAGAAACATTCTATTTCTCAGTTTGTTTTCCTTATGTGTAACTTCTAAATATTTAGCTTGATGGTATGTGGGTCTCTGTATTAGTCAGCTTGCTTAGCTTTGGGCTGCTGTAGCAAAATACCTTAGACTGAGTAATATATAAACAACAGAAGTGTGTTGCTCACAGTTGTGGAAGCTGGGGAGTTGATTTGGTTTCTGGTGAGGGCTCTTGTCAACCTGCAGATGGTCACTTTCTTGCTGTGTATATCATTTCTTATATGAACACTAATCTCCTTCCTTATGAACTCATGGTCTCCCATGAACCCCACCTCCAAATACCATCAGGGATATGACTCTCAATTCCTATCCAAATACCATTAGGGCTTCCAGTCTGTCCATAGCAGCTTCTCTTTGTACCCTAGGTTGCTCTAGGGTATACTAATGTTAAGGGTAAGTCTGAGGCAATGAACTCTGAGAGTGTGGAAGGGTAATTAGTGCACATTGGAGGGCTCCATGGTCAATGAGAAAAGGGAATCAGAGGGAAACAAACACAAAAATAACTCTTTCCCCCTCTCCTTTGTGGACTGCACCTAGAAGTGGTTTCTCCTTGCAAATGATCCAGCAGAATTCCACGTGCTGAAGCTCAGCTCTTAATCAAGCTGCCACGGCTCAGGGAGGTTCAGAAGAGGTGGTGGCCAACTGGTGTTCAGGGCATGGGGCCTCTCCTCTCCTTGCTCCCATTTTAGTTCATCCTTAGCACCTGCTGAGCTTCTCCTTAAGGCCCTGGTTTTGCTCCTCTTAAATGTCATTACTTTAATGCTGGCCTTGGGCTAATGCTCTCTAGGGGACTCAGAATGACACTCAATTCCTATCAATTACTAGCTATGGCTTTAAGGCAGATTACTTGTCCTCCCTGTGCCTCGGTTTTCTCCTCTGAAAAATAAGGATAAATTATAATATCTCCCATGTAAAGTTTACGTGAAGACTAAATGTAGCCAGGCACGGCGGCACATGCCTCAGTCCCAGTGGCTTGGGAGGCTGAGGCAGGAGGATTGCAAGGTTAAAGCCAGCCTCAGTCAGGATTGAGGCACTAAGCAACTCAGGGAGACGCTGTCTCTAAATAAAATGTAAAATAGGGCTGGGGATGTGTTGAGGGCCACAGCCAAGTCGGGATGACGCATGGCATTTTTGCCAGAAGTAGTGGTTGAGAGGTGATGCCAGCGAGCCATTAAGATGATGACTTTTGAGTTCTTGCAGAGTTCCCGTTGAGCTCTCGCGGGGATTCCTGAAGCGTTTGCATTGGCTGGGGAAGTGCCTGAGGAGGGATTTTCTGGTTGGTGGTTCCTGGAGGAGCGTTCGGGAGAGTTCCCTGGCATTCGGGAGAGTTCCCGGGGAGCATGTGTGGAGTGTGCTGGTGGAGTTCAGAAATAAAGTTTGTTCCTGCTTCAGTGGCTCGTGATTTGTGCCCAGCCAGACTGCGGCAGGGATGTGCATCAGTGGTTGAGTGCCCCTGAGTTCAATCCCTGGTACTAAATGTGTTAATATATGTCAGTTTACTGCCCCCAAATTGTTAGATTTTATTACTGCTCTTTCTTCAAATGCACTGCATTAGTCTCCTTGGGCTGCCATAACAAACTATCACAGACTGAGTGGCTCAAACAACAGAAATTTATTTTCTCATAATTATGGAGACCAGAAGTCCAAGTTCAAGTTGTCAATAGGTTTGGTGTCTTCTGAGGTTTCCCCTTGCCTGAAGATGGTTGTCGTCTTCTTCTTTTTCTTTTTTAAGAGAGAGAGAGAGAGAGAGAGTTTTTAAAATATTTATTTTTCAGTTTTCGGTAGTCACAACATCTTTATTTTATTTTATGTGGTGTTAAGGATCGAACCCAGCGCCCCATGCAAGCCAGGCAAGCGCCTTACCGCTTGAGCCACATCCCCAGCCCCAGATGGCTGTCTTCTTGCTTGTGCCCTCACATGGTCATTTTTCTGTGTGTGCTCATCCTTGGTGTCTTGGGACACCTATCAGAGTGGATTAGAGCCCACCTTGATAACCTTGTTTTAACTTAATCACCCCCGAAAAGGTCCTGTCTCCCAATATAGTCACATTCTGAATTATTCTATGTCAGGGCTTCAACAGAAGAATTTTGGAAAAACACAATTTGGCCCATAACAGACCCTCTCAAGATCTACCTCTATGTTGGGTGATCAACTTGCTCAGGTTTGCCTGGCATTTTCTTGGCTTCAGAACAGAGAGTCCTGCACCCCAGGAAATCCCCTAGTCATGGGCAAGCTGGAAAGATTGCTCACCCTAATTCTTCCAGAAGCCTGCCTGAGCCACAATATGTAAGGACAAGAAGGAGTAAATGAACCCAGCAAAGAAGGTCCTCAACTTGGAATAGTTGAACTTAAGGAGTTTTTGACCTTATGATAGCATGGAAGAAAAACACATTCAGTAGACATTGTACTCCACATTTTGCCCTTCGATCTTTTCCCTGGTTAGCAAAAACATGATACTGTGTTGCAATGCTGGGTAGGGGGAGCAAGCAACAGCTCCCCGTCAGCCCTGTGACCATGAGGGAAACAATTGACAGACACTTTAGTGTACTGTGTTGCTAAGCTGTGATGCTTGATGCGAGGTGTTTAAAATGCATTTCGACTTATGATATTTTTAACTTAAAGTAAGTTTATTTGGACAAAACCCCATGGTAAGTCAAGGACATCTGTATATATTTAGAACTCCATAATCCCTTGTGAACTTTGACATCTATTAACTGTCTGCGTCCTCATTTCAGCCTGGTGAGATAGGTGGTGTAGAAAATAATATTCCATTACAAAAAGTGGGAAACAAGTGCAGAAAGATTCATCTTTGCTTGGTGACCCACCCTGTTCATCTTTCTCCTGGTTCTTTCGTTACTAGGTGTTTCCTAGACCAGTATGAGGCAACCATAGTGTAAGCTTCAATCCATGCCGTACAAAGGCCCAGGCAAAAGGTAAGCAACCAGGATGTATCCATCAAGGAGCCCTATATTTCTCTATATTGATGTGAATTAAAGAAATTAAACAGCGATCATGCCTGCTCTACCTGGGTGGGGGCGATGGGTGGGCCACAGGCTGGGCCTGAGCACATGCCTCTGGCTGAAAAACAGGCAGGGCAGGAGGGAAGCAGAGAGAGATGCAGGATGTGTTTGATGATCTGCTCTGAAAGGCAAGGAGGGAAGTCATTGATTACTGAGCTTTGTTTGATCTGCTCAAGGATCAAAGGGACAAACACTATGTGCAAAGATGAAAGTTGACCTGAAAACCCTGTGTCCCCACCTGCTGGGATGCCAGGCTGCCCTGCGCCCATGGGTCAGGGTGGAGGACTCTCAGAGGAACCAGGGGCAAGACTGTAAGCCCATCACTTCTTTAACCTGACCTCTGAACCCTCTCCTGACAACTGTCTTTAAGAAGAGGTTTCTCTCATCCCTTGGGCCCTCTCTGTTTGGGGAACTCAAGGTTATAAGGAGACCTGGGGGCCAAGCATTGCCTCTGGCCTTTAAAGAACGTGGATAAATCATCAGATAATACGGGCTAAATGCTATGATTAGGCTGAGCTTGAAGGTGTGAAGGTACCACTGTAAAACCCCTAAACTTAACCTGTGGGAGGGTACAAAGGAGGTACCCAATTTTTGCCTAAAAGATAAATTATAGAAGGTGAAGTTTTTTGTTTCCTTTTTGGAGGAGGGAGAGGAGAATCACATGCACAAAGCCAAGGAGGTGATAGACACCATGATACAGTATGATTGGGTCAATATGAACTGAATTATAATCTGAGCCAGGGCCTGTATAGTCTTATTGTCTCCTAATGACATCCAGTGAGCTAGCCCTGGGGATTATTCCACTTCATAATGGAATGAGAAGCTTGAGGCTCACAATGTTTGAGCAACTTGCCTGAAGTCACATAGTTGGCATATGGTGGAGTCAGAATGTGAACTCAGATTTGCTTACTTGAAAACCTGGATTTTCACAAATAAAGATGTGGTCACATCCATATTTTAGAAAGTTACCTCTAGTCCTTGGGGTTAACTGGAGAGACTGGAAGTAGATGCAGAGAGATCGGTCAGCATGCTTTTGCAACAGGTTTAGGTGACTGGCATAATCTCCCAACTCAAAGGATTGCTGTGCAAAAAGTAAATTTATTTTCCATAAACTTGAGAAGTCTGTTGTTAACAGAAATGTAATCTTGGTTCATGAGGGTTTCTTCCTCTTTTCCTTCTCCCTATATTATCATCTGAAATCTACATGGAGAAGAGCTACATAGTAGATTATAGGGTGGGGATCGGATGAGAACAGGGGGAAGGTGGCAGTGACTGTCATCAAGTCATACTTCCATATCAGGTTCCTAGCCTCTGTCATCTTGTGGCCTTTTTTTATTTCCAAACAGTTCTAGACTCTACTTTTTGTAGATTATTTAGCCTCATTTTACAGCAAATTCAATGGATCTGAGTTATATTCTGGGCCTACCTGTCCCAAGTCACTATACTGAATCTTCCTGTTCTTTCCCTGGTAGATATCAGGAGAATTCTGGGACATTGCCATTGTCCCAGGCTGAAGACAGGAAGTTTAGCACAAGAAACCTTGTTCCCAGACACCAGAACTAGAGGGGAAAACTCTCATCCCTTCCCATGCCCAGGTTCACCCTAGGCAAGTAGGATACAGACTCCTCTCAAAGACACACTTTAGTAACTTCCTCTCTGACTCTCCGCCAACTCTCCCAGCTCTGTTAAATTTTATATTTTTAGTAAGTATTCTTTCTAATCTATTGTTTAGGCTAGGACTTTGACTGTTAAACCAATGATTAGCTTGCATGTTTCTCTTTGTGTTCTGCTATCGATTTCTTTCCACTTGGATCCTGGCACTAGAGGTATAGTAACAACTTAGTCAAAGCCCATGCACTTGTGCTGGGTAGACATGGATAACAAATTAGTATATAATATGTTTGTTTTAGTCAGTTTTTGCATCATTTTGACCAAAATACCAGACAAGAAAACTTAGAGGTGGGAAAAGTTTATTTAGGGCTCACAATTTCAGAGATCTCAGTCTATGGTAGATCAAGTCCATTGCTCTGGGCCCAAGGTGAGGCAGGACATAATGGCCAAAGGGCATGGTGAAGGTGCACTCTTCTGTTCGTGGTTGGCCAGGAAACAGAGTAAGAGGGAGAAAAGGGCCATAGATGCACTTTTCCAGGGCACAACCCCAGTGACCTACCTCCTCCAGCCAAGTCCCACTTGCCTACAGTTAACACTCAGGCAGTTCATTCAAACAAGGATGGACTGATTAAGTTTCAGCTATCACAGTCCAATCATTTCACCTCCCAATATCCCTGAATTACCAATACAGGAGCTTTGGGGGACACATCATGTCCAAACCATAACATGTTCCCTGGTGATAAGTGCTATGAAGAAATGTCAGCAAGAAAAGGGGGCAGAGGTAGGTGACACTGTGGCATATTAGACAATGGCTCTCAGTTAAAGGAACACTTGGGAGAGAACCAAATGAAGTGAAGGAGTAAGTCCCAGGCTTACAGGAAGGGGGAACATCAAGTACAAAGACCCTGAGGCAGGAACAGGCTTGGTGATTTCAAGGAGCAGCAGGGAAAATCCTGGGGCAGAAAATAAATGAATGAGGGAGGAGGAAGCAAGAGATAAAGGCACAAAGGGAGGAAACCAGAAAGCCTTGGAGGATGGAGGTTTAGCGGGCATAATAAGGATTTTGAATTTTTTTTTAATAAGATAGAAAGCCACTGCAAGATTTTGAGCAAAGAAATATCATGGCCAAGTTATTTCTCACAGGATTACCCTATTTTCTATGTGAGATCTTGAATGAAGTATGGTGGCCATTTTGGAGACAATTGCAGAAGACCCAGGATAGAGGTAACAGTGGCTCTTAGAGCAGTATCCATGAAGATGGTAAGAGATGAGGAAATTAGGGATAAGCTTTTAATACATTTTCTGATGTTTGGATATGCAGAAAAAGACAGGAAAACATGGGAAAGTAGGCACATTAAGGAAAGATGCTGCTGTAGGTCATGTTTGTGGGGGGACTGTTTCTGCCCCTACAGGATTTGAGGGTTGGAGGTTATTTGAGGAGCACTCTCAGGAATAATACCTGTGAGGGAGTGAAGGTAGCTGGGGAGAAGTTCTACTGTGATGCAGTCATGACAGAGGCCTCAGCTGACCTATAGGAATCTTGGGAGCTGAAGCAATCCTATATTATTATCCAATTTGACAAAAGGGCCAGACTTTTTGTAGCCCCCTCATTAGCCCATCATCGGAGGCATAGGATGAGGCAGGTGGCCTCCTTCTGTGAGGGCAAGTCCTAGAGAGAGGTTCCTCTGTGATTCATCAATTGCCAATACTTCTAGAAGCCCAGGTCCTGAGGAGGCACTGGGGGGCCCATAACACTGTCCCCTACAAGTGTCTACTCTAGTTTTCTCAGGGAAGGGTCAGGAGGACGTTCAGACCAGGTGACACCTGGACTGGTTTTAAAGGCTCCTTTGCTACTTTCCTTAGTCATGTGATTTTTGGTCATGAATGAGACGGTGCTTGAACAAGCCTCAAACTCTACAACCAAAACTGTTCTAATTATGTTCATTGGTTAAATCTTAAACTAAATGGAATTCTGAAATTAATTGCCTTTTAAACTAAAGTGTTTTCATTTTCCCAAATTATAATAAATTCTCAATTTTCAGTTAGGCTTTATATTTTCAAAATCTATTGATTCTGAGAAAATGCCTATTTTCTGAGGCAAAGTTGATATTCTAGTTGGTTCAAATTTCTGGCAATTGAATATTCCTCAATGAACAGAAATCCAATGTGCTGATATTTTTCAGGATTTCTTATTGGCAGGAAGTTCTTTCCATGAGCTAACATCCTCTTTGGAACAATTTTAGACATTTATTCTAGATTTTTCTACAGAGGAGATAAGGAATGAGTGACAACAGGGTCTGTGTAACAGGTGATTCCTGCGTGCAAACCCTATTTTGAGGATGATTCTCACCCTTCAGAGAGGGAAATATTGGACTTAGGGCCTAGAAGCTGGCTGAATATATTTTAAAGAGTATATGCTCAGTGAATGAGCAGATATGTATGCATGTGTGGTTATTATGTATTTGCATCTTTATGGTGTTTTGTTTTGTTTTGTTTTGATACTGAAGATTGAACCCAGGGCACTCTACTACTGAGCTACATCCCCAGATCCTACCCCCTGGCTTTTAAAAATTTTAAATTTTGATTCAGGTTCTCACTAAGTTGCCCAGGGGGGCCTGGAACCAGATATCCTCCTACCTCAGCCTCCTGAGTCACTGGGATTTTAGGTGGACACCACTGTACCCAGCTTCTAGGCATGTTTTAACAGAACTTCCCTCATTACTATGGGGAGAGTAGACTGGAGTCTGGATGTGTAGGGATGTATAAATGTGCACACATAGATATGTAGGTAAGTGTGATGAGTTTGAGGGAGAATGAGTATATGAACAATTTTGTTTCTGTTTGTGTGAGAATCTACATGTTTATAATGCATGTACGTCTGGGACAGTGATTCAGGTGTGTAAATAATTTAGGTTTATGAGTATGTTTGTGCACATGCACATGAGAGCAAATGTATAGACGTGTCAACAGTATTTCCCAGCTACATGAGGTAATCAGATCTCATGGTTCAGTGGCAAAAATATCAATGCCAAGGTCAGGTTTCTTGCCTGCAGCAACTTCAGTGATCCTTCTCCAAACATTTTCCTTAGGGGCTCCTCTAGTTCTTCCCTCTCTTCCCACCAGGGGTCAAGGCCCAGAGGGGCTTCAGGCAGCTTCTTGGCCTTTGGAGCTGCTACTCTGATGTCCGCCCCAGGAGCCTTGACTGTGGCAGTCTTGTCATGTTGGACTCTCTGCTGTCACTGCCAAAGTGACAATTGATGATCAGAACTGGGGCTGCCCAGAAACCCAACTTCTGCACAGGG